CTTCTCTTTCTTGTAGGACCAATGTCTTTTACCTGACGTATAAAATTTTCTTCGTAGGTATCTCCCACTGAAGGTATATTCTCTACTGGATCTTGTGTACCAGGATTTTCTGGATTGGCTTCAGGCTCTTCATCTTCTCTTCTTTTGCAGATGAAGATATGGGTGCTATTAGAGCATCTGGTGTCTTGGAAGGAATGAAACTTATTTTCACGGAATAGGACATCTCTGCTTCTGATGAATCGCTCTGCCTCTAATACATACAACTTGTATCCCTTAGTATTCTGTGCATATCCAATAAATATTGCTTTCTTAGCTTTGGGTTCGAGTGTCGTTCGTAGACTATCTGGGGTATGTACGAAACACACGCATCCGAATACTTTTAAATTTGAAACATCTGGTTTCTTTCTGAACCATCTTTCAAATGGCGTTTCATTCTTCAGGGTACTTGTTGCATTACGATTATGTAAATAAACAGCAGTATTTATTGCTTCGGCCCAAAAATGGAGTGGTAATTTGGCATGGTAGAGCATTGAGCGAGAACTTTCTATTAGTGTTCTTCTTAGTCTCTCAGATACGCCGTTCTGCTCTGGGTTGTGGGGATTGGTAAGCTGGTGTTTGATTCCTTTCTCCACACAAACTTGACGAAATGATTCCGAGGTGTACTCTCCTCCATTGTCAGTTCTAATTTACCCCACTTTATAGCCTGATTCATTCTCAACCATGGACACGTATTATTTGAACTTGCACGTTACTTTTGCCTTTCGTTTAATGAAATATACTGTGACGAATTTGGTGTAGTCGTCAGTTAACGTTAGTACATACTTGCTTCCACCCATGGATGCGACATTCATTGGACCACAAAGACCACTGTGAATTAATTGAAGTGGTTGGCTTGTCTTGTTGATGCTTTTCTTCGGAAAACGTAGCCGATGCATCTTTCCCTGAGCACAAGCTTCACACTCTTTGTGGAATTCATTACTTGAACATTTCAAACCTTCAACTAGCTTCCCTTTAATCATCTGATTTAAGCAGGAGTAATTCATATGACCATACCTGCAATGCCATTTCTCCAATGAAGGCATATCAGTACGAGCTACTTGGGCATATTCATGTGTATTCATCATATACAGCTTGTTTTCAATGATATGTCGAATGGTAATACTTCTGCCATCTTTCGAAACAACGCATCTCCCTTTATTGAACAATACTTCGGCTCCAAGTCTCGTCATGGCAGGTACAGATAATAAGTTCTTCGAGATTTCAGGCACATACAGCACATTGCTTAGGGTAAGATTAATAACATTAGATCCATCATAACAGGGAATTTTGACCTTTCCTTCACCATATGCATCAATTGTACTATTGTCACCAAGGTATATCTTAGATGGCATCCCATACTCAATATAGTCGAGGAGTTGATCAACTTGAAAAGTCATATGTTTTGTTGCTCCACTGTCAATGAACCAGTTGGTGTCTTGGTCTTTACTACTAGCACTTGAGTAGGAATTAAGAGCAATGTTATCAAAATGTTGTTTCTTTCCATCTGTCTCTGCAATGCTTGAGTGATGACATCTACGATTGAGTGGGCAATTCTTCATCACATGGCCAACTTCTCTACATTTGAAACACGTCGGACCTTGACTTGATCCAGATTCGTGTTGCGGATTCTCTTTGAACTTGCCAACATCACGATCACCTTGACCACGTCGATTTCTTCCACGAGACGACCAATTACCTCTTTTAGAAAATAGTGCTTCATTTTCATTTCTGTCACCTGAATTTTCACATTTGCGCTGTCTTTCTTTCTCTTCACGCTTCTTGTATTCTTCGATGAGTAAACCTTTCACATTGTCCCAATTTAGTTCATCCGGTTTGGTAGCGTTGATGCTACAAATAAAACTGTCGTATGAATCTCGCAAACTTCCTAGTACTACGGTTGCGAACTTCTGTGGCGTCATTTCTTCTCTTAACTCTCGCAATTGTTCTGCCAAAGACGTCATGTACGTTAGATGTGTCATTATATCAGTGCCTTCTTTCATAGTAGCGGCGTAGAATCGACGATTAAGTCGAACGATTTGTGTTATCGAAAAACATTCAAACTGTTTTTGTAGGATTTCCCAAGCCGCGCGAGGATCTATTGTCGACGAAATATGGACTTTTAGATCTTTTTGCACGCTGAGCGCGATTAACAAATATGCTTTGTCGGAACGCACATGATATGAATTTCTTACAGTTGTTGTCGCCGTGTCATCCGGGGCAACCTCTGTTCCTTCAACAAATCCCCATAGACCACGCTCCATCAACACAAGCTTTATATTATAGTTCCACGACTGGTAATTTTTGCCATCGAGGCGCTCTATTTTTGTAATCTTGGCCATCTTAAACATACGGCTGACTCGCGCTTTTACTTCACAATTTATCCCTTATCGTGTCAATATTCATACATACAAATTAGTACAGCTTCAACGACCGTTCTGGGCTCATAACCTGATAAAATAATCCGAAGCTTTGGTTTATAGAAAGAAGGTTTATTCAACAGTATTAACTTCACATAAAGCAGGCACATGTAGAAAGCGCCATATAACAAGCAAAACAGGAAAGTTATCAAGTTCAAGATTACGGAACACGTGATTACATTACGACGTAACTATTATATTCTAACACCCTTCCTATCATATTCCTAACATCAAAGAGAGTAAGCCATAAGCATGACATAAATACAAATTTAAACCTATAGCTATGCATTACAAAGTCAAGCATAGTAAGCAGTAAGCACTTCAATCTACTTACTTTAGAGCCCGCCAATTATCTCCCATATGCTTAGGGATAAGCAACTCTGCGTTAAGATCTCTCGCCAGCTTTCCTTTCCCAAACAGGTCTGTTTTAGTCAGAATGGCAGCAGAGACTTTTGCTTCATAATCCTTTTTTACAAAAGAAATCTCGCTGGTTTTTCTGTCTTGAATCAATGAGCCAATATCGTATACATGCCTATTTTCAGGCATGATGACTTCAAGGTATAAATAAGCCAAATGCCATAGTCATGTGATTATAATTTTAAAGGTTTGAAGATATATAACGCTGGCTCAATTGCATCAGTCAGAATGAAATTTTAGTGCTCGTGGGCCTAGTGCAACAGTCAGCAGCGATTTCCCACTGTGACGTAGGCTAAAAAACAATGAAATTCGTGACGTTTAGGTGGTTCACTCGGCCAAAGAGACTCGGGACTGTTGCACCAACTAATGTACTTTTTTCCCCACCGTGACGTAGTAATACAAATTCAGCTCAGTGTAGCAGGATGATGAAACAAATTTTCGCTAAAAATTTCGACACAAAAAAGCGCCATATTTAGCGACGCATTTTTTAATTATGCGGCTATAATCAAAATGACACTCACATGTAAACAATCTACGAAGGATTTAAACAATATTTCTCGATCATCAATGTACATTTGTTGTCAATATATTGTCAGCGTTAAGATATTTAAAGCATTTAGAAATTATAAACATTCCAATATGATATAATTCTTGGAGTTTGCTTGTATTTATTGTAAGTTATAATGTTGCGAAATATTAACTATTCAATTTTATGACTGATGCACTCGCATCAGTTGCACTAGCCTGGATCCGCCCCCAATTTGAGGTGGCCAGGAAATGATGTCAATTCCTTAGTTTTGTGTATAGCGTTAAACATGGCGTTATCGTGTTAAAAAATCATCTCCAACTAACGTGTTGAAGATGTAAAACTGAACATTTACGGAACATTGTCAATTAAGTATTTAATATAAAGACAGTGTGTTAGGCTTTTTGGCAAATGATAATCCGTATTATCGTGACGAATGTTTGTTCTGTAACAGTTGTTTTGGAGCATTTCTTAGTTCGTTTTTATATAAAGTTCATTCAATATTTTACTTGAACACTTTTCTATCCAGCGGCTTTATTAAAGGAGTACGCTACTAAGCCAAACTGAGAGTTTGTACAATAAAAAATATATGATGTAAATTATACGAAGTAATTAATGTTTAATTAGTGCAAAGTTTTCAGACAACAGCGCTCGTAAATTTACACTTTAAAAATTGTTTTCTGTTTGATGTGTGCGAACAACAACAAAAAAATTGTATTTTCTCCTTCATTTGTATCATTTGAACTTCCAAAATATTATTCCAGCAGAACATTTGTTTTGAAGTATTTTATCATACCATAATTACGAACAGCTACAATTCGAAGCACACAGCTATCTTCATACTCATTCTGTGTTAATTGTTGCAAAAAAAACTGCCTTAAATTAGAGTAGCTGCACACTCTTTTATCATTTTAAACAGTGTTAACATTTTCTTCACGAAATACGTTTGCTGTGAGCTTTTACCTCCTCGCATTATAGGGTAAGTCAAAATACATTACAAAAATTTGATTGAATTTCACATACATTAATAAGCCTCGCGTGTTAAACATTTGACTATTCAAAGTAATATTTAGAAAATCAATAATGCATTTGCTGTTATGTCGCATTTTAACATAAAATAAGCTGATGTAAAGCATTTTGATTAACCCTGTATCCATGCTGTTTCTGACAAACGGGATAAAAATAAGCTAAACAGTCACTTGTAAAGTACTTTATCGATTACTTGAAGCAATATTATCAACATAACCAAAGAAAAATTTGAGCGTCAATTCTTTTAAATTGAGGCGCGATTAATGAAAAATTGAACATTTAAACTTTGCTAAACTGAGTCGCTTCAAAAAAGTTCGTTAAATTTTACAAATTCCAGTGTATCATTTCTTACTTTCTTTAACAACAAACTATGACAATCACACGAATGTTTGTTTGAATCCAAATACTTATAGTATAAATATCATTTTGTATTGCTTTAGAAAAATATATAAATCAGTTTCAGAAACATCTGCCATCCATCAGACACCAAGCAGCATTTTATTGGCAGATCAGACAATCTTGCTTATCTACCTCATATTTAAATTTTCCAGCTTCGACTCTCTTCAGAAACACCTGCTTCATTTAACAGAAGTCTTGTTAGTATTCAGACGATTCAATTCAAAAGAAGTTGCCGCTGTTAGCATCTTGAAAAAGGCGATGAGTAAAATGCTGCAAACTTCAGGTTTGTAAGGATTATTTTTGCCTGTTATGTTTTTACACGAAACGTCATAAGAAATTACATCAAATCGCACTAAAGTTAAGCTTCAAACAGTCACGCCTATATTTATTTCTACTTATAAACTTATAAAGTGGGCAAAATAGTAAAAGATTGGTCAAAATATTTCGGTTTATGTTAGTAACCACTCTTTAAGCTCATAAATGTAAAATCATGTAAAATCTTACAAACGACAAAAAGTCGCTTTGATTTAATCGGAATGTACAACGACAAAATAAATAAGAACAATGACAAGTATCGCTCTAGCTAACATATCTAAATTAATGTTAGGATTATTTTGCGCAGATAAGATAATAGAATTGGTCATAGAATGTGCTTCCATCTATTATTTCGAGAAGGTTTTCACACGATGACACAAATGCAGCTTGTCAGACAACGAGATATTAACATGTAAACATAACATGATGTCATCTTAAAAAGCTTGTATCAAATCACAACGACATGCATACTGACAAATATAACAAAACAATAGTCGAGTTACAACCGATTATTTTTTCCATTTCAAACATAAGTAAAAAATATGGGAAAAATCAGTAAAAGCTTGCTTTCCGCAATGCAGTATGCTCATAATAAATTAATTGCGTAAAGCTTTTCACTAATATGACTTAAATTTGCATGAAATAATTATATCGACATGATTGGACAGCGTGGAAGCGGCAAACAACACTTCAGAGCAAATGATTATTTCATTCAAGCTTTTTCTGGTTTCAAAATATGATTTATTTGATAGCATGATTTCTCTATGCATGTACGTAATGTCCACAGTTTTATAGATGTTTTGTTCGAATTAAATTCAAATATTTCTTTGATGACTTATGTTGCCATATGCAATTCAAATGAAACTTAATTAGCGAAAAAAGATATTTAAAGTGTTTGTGTCTTTTTGTTCTAATATTGACTACAGTTTAAAACGTTAAAATTTTTCAATATTTGCAATTTATTTAGCTCTGTGATACAACTTAAAAATTCCGAATATAGCCTTATTTTTAAACGTCTTAAATTATTTAAACAACCGAAAAGTATTTGTTCATTAAAGATTTATGGCATGAATCATGAGTCCTCTCGAATTGTTCAGAGTTGATCACATGACCCCCAATTACTGGGAATAAACAAGGCGTTAGAAAAAATTTTGAAAATGGACGGTATCCAACATTTGTTTAAAGATTTCACAATATTCAAGAACGTAAATAGAAACAAAAACTCATTCAGCGCATATTTATAACCAAAACAAGAAATTGGAGAAATAGTAATACTCATTAAAAAAACTGATTTTGAGCACTGTAGGTATCTTGTAAAATATCGATTCGAATGATGATGCGTCTTCACTCCATTAAGAAAAATTTTGTCACGCCTTTCCCATGTTTTTTGAAAAACAATTATGTACGAAGTAATGTACGAGCTGCAGCTAACAATTAGTATGAAGTTTCCAAATTGGATCAAAAAGATTGCTACATGACGATGCTTCGCCGTTTTTACATAGGGCACTTTTCCTATCTATAGTTTCTTTTTGTAGTCAGAACCATTGTTAAAATATTTCTTGTGCAATATATTGTCCCCAAAATCTACAAAACCGCGAACGACACCAGTTACATCATTTACGTTCGGTGCGGAAGTAAAATGAATGGTTAGCAGTTTCTTGCATTTTTACATCAATATGATCGCAAAGATTTTTTCTACATCAAATTGATACAAACAATGTTCATAAATTCATCATTTAATAAGTTTAACGTCTAATAACTTGAAAATGTGAAGCATTGATTTAAAAAAATCACCTGGAATCGTGTTATAATTTTGTGATTTTACACGCTAAATCATTCCAGTACGTACCAGTAAATGCAATTTATTAGATCACTAGAACATGAAACCGTTTACATTTTTCTATTTTGACTGCCTTACACGATCAGTTACAAACAGAGCGTTTTCCATTCGTCCTTCTATTGATAACAGGAAGCTTCCCTTTTAAAAGTTTGATATTGTGATAAGAAAAAGTTGATGAAGATGTTTTAATTTGAGACATAAAGTAATTTTTAATTAATACAAGATAATTTGTATTTATGTCACATCACTAGATGCAATGTGATATTAATGTCTTGCATCTAGAAGCTGGGTTTCTTTGGTATCTTTTTCACGAAATTGCTTTTCCATTAGTTAAAACGTTTGTTAAGTTGGGAAATCTGTAAGCATTTGCATTGCTTTACATGGCTAAAATTTATAAAATTTTTTCATGAACTGTGCACATTTTCTATAACTGTATATCTTTTTAGAAATCGAACGTTTTCGGACAGAAGTATTGATTTCCCACAATGAATACCGGGCTCAACATGGTACTGCACCATTACGCTTATCTTTTCAGCTTAGTGACGCAGCTCAGTCACTCGCTGTAAAATTAGCTCAAAGTGAGAACCTACAGTTCAGTTCTAAAAGTGATGTCTTCAATGACAGTATTGCTTACACATGGGGATCACAGTTAACTGGAACTTTAGTTTCACGAATGTGGTACGAAGAGGGAAACAACTATGATTATCAAAGTAGAAATTTATGTAAGTCCACTCAACATTTTACGCAGCTGCTATGGAAAGGATCGCAAGAATTAGGAGTAGGAAGGGCAAGAAATAAATATGGTAAAGAAGTTATTGTTGTGCGATACCAGCCCCCTGGTAACATTGAAAAATTTATCGATAACGTTGCTTGCAAGACGATATCGTTAATGAATAAAACATCAGTCATCGACCCCATCTCTCAAAATAGTTATCCAGGTAATTAATAACATTGCCAAAATAAGAACTTACTATCTTAGTTCACTTTAGTAGATGAAATTTATAAATGGCTGAAGTGTTCACTGCAGTTGTTAAACGTATAAGGAGAAGAAAATTTCTAATCTTAACACTTACAGTCCTAGTGAAATCTATCACACATTGTATTACGAAGCATTTCTTAAAATTGGTCAGAAGATGGATTTTGAATAAACTAAAAATTACGTCGTCGTAAGCAAAATACTTGTGAAACATATGACAGATAATTACTAAAAATATTTTATTCTTAAAATTCAAAACATGCATAAGTAAAATTTGAAATCTGTTTGCTTGTAATAAGAAAACAAAAGATTTCTGCCCTTATCTGTTCACTGAGAATTTTTACTTCTTATAAATTGGTTTGATCAAGGATTACGCCAGTTCCAAGAAGATTGTCTAGCAGCCCACAATAGATACCGTCAGCGTCATGGTGCAAATTCTTTGCAATGGTCGTATAAACTAACACAAGAAGCTCAAAAGTGGGCAAATCATTTGTTAAAAACAGGCACGCTTACTCATAGTGGCAACACTTCTTACGGAGAAAATTTAGCTGGTCGGAGGAGCTATGATCTGACTGGGAAAAAGGCTACAAAATTGTGGTACGACGAAAACAAGATGTTCGATTATGATGCTCCAAAGTTTTCCTCAGAAACCGGAAATTTTACTCAGGTATGTGTTTATTTTGCTATTTCAAATGCATTTATTTAAAATAAGTAAACAAATTTCTTTATGTTATTTGAAGATGCAATTTCTTTTTATTGTGCAATTTTTAGTGACTTTGAAGTACATAATTACTTAATAAATGACACTTTTAATATTTTTTTGTGTTCATTAATTGGCATTGTGTTCATTAAGATTATGCCATTAGGTTACAAAAATAAACAAATCACAAAAACCTAGCCCCGGCAAAAATAAACATCGATGATAAGAGGTAGGACCTTTAAATCGTCATTCACTGATTTTGGTTCAAGCTATGTTGTTAAGCAATGCCCTCTTTTATCTGGTTCTCAGTGAAAAAGTCATGTGAATTAGGCATCGTCGTTTTTAAAAACGAAATGTTGAAATGAGCAAAAAGAACAAGCAATCATCTCTCACAAAATTCTTGTGTGAGATCGCAAATTAATATATTTATTTGTTGAAATATTTGAGAGTAATTACAATTCTAAAGTTACTTACTTTCATTTGATAGCAAGAAAGCGAAATGAAAATTTGCTGGTTAAAAGTAACTGCTTTCCTTGCATATTATTTTAATAACAAATTAATATCGTCAAATCATATCAATTGCCTCCTGTGACATTCCCCTTATATGTGCTGAAAAATATCTGCACATCTCCAAGAGACATTGACATGTTAAATTTGCACGTTTTATTTCATATGAAAGCAGAATGAACAACTGAAGAATGTCCTCAATTACAATGATTGCAATTAATATGATTGCACGTAAGATCATATTACAATGAAAATTAGCATAAAAAGGAGTAAATTGTAAAATAATGATATATTTTAAGTAACAATTAATATTAAGATATATTTACACATTTCTTTTGTACCATTCTTTTTGGAGCTTTAACTATTGAAGTGATTCTTATTAGAATAACTAGATGAAAGAAATTGCGAATATCAATCACAAAACTGAAACACAAAGTTCCTTTTAAATAGTTGCATGTTACTACAAATTGTTAAAATTTATCTGGCCTAAAAATAAAAAGAAACAAGTGCTTAGCAGTACTGTAAATTTTATCCATAATTCAATTTGTCGTCAAAAATTGATTTTTATACGTAACATAACCCAAAATTTAACGAACAGTGGAATTTGTGAATATTAATTAGATGTGAGAGTGTAGTGGGCACACCCTTTATGAGATATCAGTACACATTCCCTTTAGAAACAGGTTAAAGACGAAAAATGTCGGTACAGCAAAATTTATAAGGTTTTTTATCAAAGCTAACATTAGAAAACCCAATATTGTTTGTCTTTCATTATGAGGGAACAACACTGTAAAAACTGATTGGTTAAAATAACCATACGACTGGTTAAAGTAACCATAAAAATATTGGTTAACAATTTTTATGGTTATTTTAACCAGTCACGTTTTACAGAGAAGTCAGAAGTGTAGAGCGCCTGCATGTTTTGCCCTTGTTATGAAAAGTTTATACAGTCGACGTAATTAATTTCTTTAAAATGCGAGTTTTTTGCAATGATAAAACGCAGGAAAATTTCAAAGCAGAAGCAAAACAACCGACTGGCATCGCCACTTATAGAAATCATTAAATGCTCACAGCAGTATTGGATATACAGGGTTTATTAAAAAAAGTAGAATCTTGAAAAAGTTCTCTAAAACAAGACGCGAGCCGACTAAGCAGAAACTTTTGGTTATTCTACGTGCTTTAAACGTTTTTTTAGTGCAGCTTGCAATGAAATTTTTAAAAATGCGAAATGTTTTACCGGTTAAATGACTTGTATTGAAAGTCCTTAAAAAAGGACCTAACGCACAAAAACTAATCATCGATGAGGAAAAACAACTTAATCAGCTTGATTGTAAATATTCATGGCCTGTGTTGTATACAAGCCATTAAAGTTTCAAGCAGTTTTGCGCAGCGCTGGCAACGCAAACTCTTTATAATTTTTTTAAATAATATAACTAATATAAATTTTTTGTGTTTTTCTATTTTACGCTAAGTTTTATCACAACAATTATACCTTAGGGAATTTGCTGGTTAATTTCATGGCATACTTTATCGCTTCCGCTTAATCGTAGCAAATTCAAAATTCTGAGGTTCTGAGGCCGATGAGTCTGTATTCTTTGCACATGAAATTAAAGAGTACTCTCTTTTCGTTAAAAATTGCCAATGTGTTGAAAGCACATGCCGATTTAATAAAATAGAAATAACGAATATAACATAAGTTAAATTGATTATTTTACAAAATTTAAACAAAAATCTTTACGAATAAAGTTTTTCTGTATAGCACAGAAAAGGTTGGGTGATAAAAACGCCATAAGCCTCCTGAGCTAATGAAGCCACCCCAACCCATCAGCCGAAGAAACGCCCTTACAATAAACATATAAGAACACTAGTAATTTTTAAAACGAGCAAGAAAATTGGTTAAGAAGATGATACCTATCCATGAACGCACCACAACTGTTAATATATGAGTGAGATAAAGATATATCAATCCCACATGCTTTGCTGTTAATTGTAAACGTAGAATCTGAACTGCGCATCTGAACAAAGAATGAACACAATGCGAAAAGAAATCATGCAGCCGCTAGCCTAACCTCTGCATCAGCTAAACGACAACAATTAAGATCATTTCATCTACTTTCATGTATTATTGCCATTCGTCTTGCCAAACAAGAATGCAGCTACCGTAAGTCCCAAGCCATCTAAACGAAGAAACATTTAAACTTGGAGCTCTAATGTATTTGTGAAATGCATTCGATCGCCAGTGATCTATCGTACGAATCTGGGCATCAGAAAAACCCCGTTCTGCTGCAAACGTAGCTGCTCCTATCCGATCCCTTTGTATTTGTATGAATCCAGGCCACACGCTCTAACCACTGAAGCTAAGAAATTGGTAAATAAAGTGTGTAGAGCAAGGTTGCCTGAACTTAGTTGAAACAACGGTCGATTAGAGGAATCTCCAACAGAAAATTAATCCAGCAAGCTTTGAGCCTTGCAGATATCTGAACGACGCGATAATGTCAGAACAGCCGGTCGTTCGTCATACGAATGTTTGAAGTGATTTAATGTTATCTTAATTTCGATTGTTTTATTAGTTGCATCGACCACCTTAACTCCCTGGTTAATATGAATAACTGAAGGTGACCTATAGTAAGTTGTAATCTCACCTATACGTGAAAATGCAAACAATGCAGTGGTGCACATGGCTTTAAAAAGCTTTTTGTCATACTCAGTGGAAGTTAAGGTTGCTATATTCTGCAGAATACTGCGAAGTAAGGGCATAGTAATTGGCAACCGAGAATCAATTTGAGTTCCTATCTTTAAAATCTGAAGAATCTAAAAAGCTTTACTAGGGTGAGGGTAATCCGCCAGTCAATGACAGTACCCCAGAGCGGACACATATGTAAGCACCGTAGAAGGCGCATACTTATGTTGGAACAATAAAGAAATAATAAACTGAGATCTGTCGGTGAAATGGGAAGTGAAAATAAAGCACTTTAAAGAGCCTCGCTCGAAAATTGTTGGTATAATTTCCAATCACGACGATAAGTGGGGACTGACGATGGCTGCAAAGTAGATTGTAGTAAAATAGAAGTTACAGCTTCCAATTGTGCGGTAGTAGATGTTCGGGAACAACCGACGGTAAAGTGTGAACGTTCGCGGGGGCTAGCTCTTTGAATTTTGAAATCTGAAAACGCGACAAGGCATCAGCTAGTTGGTTATAAACACCCCGGATATGTTTGCCTGGAAGAAAATGTTAAAGTTTAAACAAGCTAGCACCAGGCGACGAACAAATATCATCACTGTCGGGTCCCGAGAGGTAGATCTATTTATAATTTCGACCATTGCTGCATTGTCTGTGTGAAATAGTACGCGATGATCACGCAAAAGGTGACCCCATAACAATACGCTTTGAACGATTGGGTAAAATTCCAAAATAACGATGTTTGAATTTTTTCCAGTGCTCAGGCCAGGCCCGGTAACACCAAAATTTACCGAAAATGGCTCCAAAGCCAAAGCTTGCAGAAGCATCTGCGTACAAATTCAAAACATTACATGGAAGCCAATAGTCAGAAAGAAAAAATGACCGACCGTTAAAATCATCGATTAAAGATTTCCAAAGATTCAAATCTGCTTTTACAGACCGTGTTAAACGAATGTAGTAATGATTTACCCTAACTCCCTTGGTGATGACAATTAGCCGAGGAGGAAATACTCTGCCTTGTACGATGACCATTTATGCAAAGTTCAACAAGTTAATCAAAGACTGCATTTTTTAACGTGGCCTTTTCTTTGATGAATTCTCCGAGAAGCGTGCCTGTTTTGAGAATTTTGTCCTCAGGTAGACGGGCTTCCATAGCATTTGTATCGAGCTCAAAGCCAGCAAAAGTGAGGATATTTACAGGACCCACCGTTTTTCTGGAGCTTTTGGTACACCGACATGATCACAAAGAGATATAAACGTTGTAATGCAACGCAACACTGGTCGAAAGAAGGGGCAGCAATGAGATAATCATCAAGAATATGAATAATATGTTCAATGCTCAAATGGGTTTTAGCGATCCATTCTAGTGCATTGCTAAACATTTCTAAAGTGCGGCAGGACGTTGCGCAGCCCATGGCCATTGTCCGATCAACATAGTTCAAAATGTGTCGCTTACTGTCGCAGAGGTCTGCAAACTTTCTTTCAAAGGTTGAGCCACCTTTGTGGCGATTTTCGATATGGTCCCATCATTGATATTGGTCGCATCAGTACGGTCTCGGTCAACGAACTCGTACGGGTGTAGAACCAGTACGAGTTCGCTGACCCCGAGACCTTGGTGTCGATACCTGTGCTCGGCGTTGAATCCTGGTGCTTGGTCTAGTAGCAGGCATCATACACTGATATACTAAAAGGAAACTGAAGGAGAAGCTACAAGCTTCAATGAAACGATAAAATGCAATTTGCAAACAATGAAAAGGAGTAATTACACAACTCTGGACAACACAGTTTTTAGTGAATGGCATACAACAAAGGTAGCCGATATAAATGGGCAAAAGTAGAAAAACGGTGACTAGCCCCCTGTTTATTGAAACCAGACGGAGAAGCTTAAACATTCTATGAAAACCATACTCTGTACTGAAAAAACAAGACAGAGACAAATGAAAGACAACATAAACAAAAATAAAGAACAATATAAGAAACAAGCTATAAGTCCTGAAGGGTCGACTGGAATTGAAGGAGAATTGCTAATTTCATAACAGGGGATACGCTTGCCACAACCGTGTGTACAGCCAAAGACAAATAATCCCGTGGAGACTCGGGATATAAAAAATTTCCAACTCAGAAAATAATGAAGTTTTTAAAAACAATATAAGTACTCCAAACAACAAAAAATCCCGTGAGATTTAAAAATTTCCAACTCGGAAAATAAACAAGCTGGTAAAGAGAAACTATGTACTCCAAACAACAAATAAATCCAGTACAATATGCATTATTTGATGTTAGTATTGAAAAGAAGGGATTCGCCAGCACATGCAACAATCAAGTGTTTAAAAAGAAAGTGTTTTCAAGATTGCTCCTCGATTGTCCTCGCGGATTACAATGAACACCATCACAGGACAATAAAATGTGGCCAACATTATTAAATGCACGATGCTCCCAAAAAAATGCAAGGTATTTTATCCAGAACAAAAGACAAATACTAATGTAAAACTGCCGCTTTCTTGTTAAATTCAAAATCAGGAGTTTGCGATTGACTGGTGTTCCTGTTAATCACCTGACATAAAACTACTGTCCTCACATTAAGGTTATTCTTTAAAAAACAAAACTAATTTTTCGAAACGAGAGCCTGCCGCCTAGAGAGACAACTCTCACAACTCATTTGTCCCTAATTCCAAAATAACTATGTCTGGAAATTTGTTTATAATAAATAGTAAGTCATATTCAAAAACTTTATCAACTGTACGACCTCCAATTCCATGTAGAGAGACGCAGCCCGACGAAGCTAAGCTAAAATTTTGTTTTGCCCGCTGTCAAAATGTTTATCTAAATGAGCGAGGACTGAAGGACTTTTAACAACTTTGAGAACAGTTTTTTAACTCACAGAAAATCGTTTTAAGAAATTTCATCACTACTTATTCCAAGGAACTATAAAGTATATGTAATAAAAAAATGCTTTGGCTTATTCCACGCGCGTCTAGTTTTGGAAAACTTTTTTCCAATAGTTTACTTTTTTTCAAACACTGTGCATGGTTTTTATGATAAAAAATAGTTTAATCACCACGAGGTTATAGCTTTTCTCTGCTTCACTAGATTTTTATTCATCTTAAAATACTCAGTTTTTTCATTTAATATTCATACTAAAAACAATAGAGTAACTTGAAGATGCACGACTTTTATAGCTTGTATGGCGTTCCAGTCATTATTTTGGTGTTGGAAAAGCTTGCAGTAAAGACATGTGTATCGTGGTTGCTTATTACTTCCCGCCAGGAAATGTTATAGACGAATTTGATGAGAATGTTGGTGCTCTTGAGGATAATTCCCCAACAGGAGAAAATGAAGAATGTATGCTTGGAAACAGCACAGTAGAACTTGGATATTTTGGTAAGCTAGTTATTCATAATTTTCAATTATAAGTTTTTCACTATTTGTATAGTTGGAACTGCATCAAACATTAAACGATATGAAAATTTATGTCTCATTCTTGTTGAAGACCTTGAAAAATTTCAAACGGAGTTCATGGTTTTTGCCAATTATCTCCGTGCACGACATGCGTCTCCGCCTCTTACAACCTCCCATCTGTTAATGGCCAACGCACAAAACTGGGCAAACAACCTTTTGAAATCTGGTAAAACAACATACATGAATGAAGACAGCTTTGGCGAGAGTATTGCTTATTCTCAACGTGAAGACCTAACAGCCTTTAAGGTAGAAATGCCGTAATAGATTAGATGAAAATGTAAATTTCAAAAGATACATCAAAGAGGCCTGACTTAACTAAAACAAGGAGAAAAAGGCCTGGAATTTCCCGTTTAAGCTCTGTGCCTGCCTACATATGTATGATTACTATTTAAAAGTTAGTTATACAATGTAGCAGATATTCACCATTCAGTATGAAGTATTTGAAAAACACACGAGTCCTTGTTTTTCTCAAATTTCACGAGAAGCTATGCTATTATTTATTAATAGCTTACACGAAAAAAATTCTCAATTCTGTTGATTTTTAACTTCACAGTAAGTACGTTTTAGCCGGCAAGTTATTAATATCACCCTTTCTTATGTTTTAAAATTTCGTCAGATATTACTTTTTACAGCACCATAGCTTCCTCACATACTAGAAAAAAATATCTACTTTTGGCAGTGTTCTTATATTCATGCTGAATCATCTTGCAAACGACAACTGTAAACTCGTTTGACAAAGGAAAACTATACTTGAAACTTACGCCAGCCACTGTAATTGCTTTGTTTACATTAATTAAACTTTTCCGTCGTTGAAATGTTTATTTTGATTTGCTCTTAGATCACTTGTTTGTTTGACAAACCAATCAGGAGCTCATTTTTCAAAAATTAATTGCACATTATTTCCTCTTTTGCACCGTGTTTCCTATTTTTTGCACTGGTATTTACAATAAATTGCACTGCTCTAAGCCATTTAGAAATTTTTCATATATATTATTATTCTCAAATGTTTTAAATTGATTACATGTTAAAATGAAAATTGTTTGTCTTCGTTCACACCATTTAGACATTTCTAGCTTTTACATTTTGCAAACATATCAATAATTTGCATTTATAGCAGTCTGATTAGAATAATAAAATTTATTCATAAGAAAACATTCATGAGAGAAAAAAGCGTTCTCGTAATACATTTTATGGAAGAAGCATTCTAAAATTTGATAAACTGTTTTTACCAATTGTATTAGGTCTGTCACCTTTGGTACGATGAAATACAAAACCACGACTTTCTCAGCTCGTCCTGCAACCCTGAGTCAATTAACTTTACTCAGTTGATCTGGCATGGTACTCGAGAAGTAGGAATTGGAAAGGCTGTGGGGAGACATGGTTATTCTATTGTGGTAGCCCATTATTTTCCTGCTGGAAATATCGACGGCATGGTGACTGAAAACGTTGCCAAGTTATCAAACGCCGGTATGTAAACAAAGAGTTTTAATGAATTTCAAAAGTAAAAATGAGGAAATTGCCAGCTATATGGAATTGCGCTTAATTTTTCTAAAGAAATTCTGCCTTTCAATGAAATTTCCATTTTCAATGATATGGTTTAACTCCATATGAGAAAACTAGACACGGTGTATTTAAAAAAATCCACTGAAAAATTTGGAACTAAAAACAGGCCTTGCTCACAAAATCTACTCATTTACAAAATCTGCTTATAATACATGGACTGTGTTGCTCAAGTTAAAAATATTTAAATCAATTGGTTATGCATGTAGGTCAACTCATAATTTTAAAACTAGGCGTTTTTGCCTGGTTGTGAACAAAAAAACAATTTTTACAATAACATTTGTAATTGGAAATTTGATATTATAATCTATAGAAATATCTAGCAATGTCTATAGCTAATAGGAAATGATATGAAAAAACTTGGTTTGAAATCTACAAATGGAAAAATACAAGATTACAAATTTTGCGTTATTTAGTGCGTGCACAAAATTGCTTGAAATTTTAAAAGCTTGTACAACACAGTCGGTTTTTTAAGTCATGGAGATCAAATTGTTTTCCAAATATTATTTTTTGAGTGTAAGGCCTGCTTTGAAGGAATTGAAACATCCGCACTCTCACCGGTTATAACTCTTTATTTTTCAATGAAGCATTTTATTACTATATTACAAACGTTTCTGTTTATTTTCTGTGCGTCTAAATTTAGTGTCCTTTTTTCAAGGTCATGTTGCTGTTGATACGTCTTCAACTATTTAAATGACCGTTTTACATAGTTGGATTTTTCCATAGAAAAATTTTTATTCTAGTTTATTTTTCTTAATGCACAAACATAACAATAGCACAATAGTAATATTTAAATTAACACCGGAGTGAAGTAAATAAAACTGTTTTTAGACGTTAAAGAAGTCCATGAAGTTCTCAAGAGGTAAGCACTTGTTAGTAAAAAAAGCTTTTAGACAATGTTTTTAAACATTTTAAGGTAGGTAACGAGTAAATGGGTAAAATATTTTTCATGCATTGAAATTTTTGAATTCTTTATTATTGTTTTTTTTTTTGTCATTTTACACAGTCATTGAATCTCACAAACAAAAGCATAATAAGTTACATTTCAAATTTTTTTTCTACTATTCATATGTTCAACATGTTTTCTATAATGCCATGCTGAACAATAGACAATCATCCAAAACCATGAATCAAAAATAACAAAACTTATCTGAAGTGATTTTTTACTTTTGGATCTAGAAGCTATACAACGAAAGGAAAAGACAGTAGAATGACTTCGTCACCACGGACAGGTGAAACTTTTGTCTTCCGTCCACCAAGTGGTGAATTCAATCAACTTGTTTGGATTGATCGCTCAGCTACTCCTTTAGATCTTTCTAAGTTGCACGAGTCAAATGATATTTCAGAGTCAAAGGAGAATATGTTAAATTTTGAAAGCCCTCCACCAAGTCCTTCAAGAGCTCTCAACCAAATAAATGAATTACTGAAAAGTTCAACAAATACGTGCGAAACTGGTTCTAGCTGTGAAGAGGATGGAAATGAAGAGTTGAAATCAACTGATAAGGAAGAATGTATTTTTCTGAGTAAGTCTACCTCACGGGAAGATGTCGAAAGTGATAATGGGTGTTTGTACCAGCAATTAACACGGACATTTAGTAATGATGCAGAAAATGACGTTGATCAAAATGCCCATGCTACTTACTTTGAAGAGTCTAGTCAAGGTGTTCCTATTTTTGCCAAATCTTCGAGTGAATACGAGGAAGAAACTTGCCAAGAACTAGAAGAAAATTTTGTTATGGGAACTCAAGATTACGTAAACAAGGAGTCGGGTAGCTACCTCTTAAGAAGTAGTAAACCATACAAGCGTTCACACAATGAAGACTTTGGAGAGGTATATACTATACATTTATAAAGCCATGATTTATGAGCATGGACGTAGCTATATGATATTGATTAGGCATTAATATTCAATCTCAGTTGTGCCAAACCAATTTTTTAAATTGGGCCCAACTAAATTCATGATTCCCTTCAATAAATGTTCTAGCTACGCCCTTGCTTACAGGTAAATATAGTGCAAGAGTGATAATTAATGCCTTACAGGTATACAAATATTATGTCTTTTAATTTTTACGATTGTTTTTTGAGGTTTAAAAAAGTTATTAAAAAAGTGAACACTGTGCAACAAAAGTAACTCCTTTGAATTAATACAAAGATATTAAAGATGACATGCAGTAAAGCAATTTTCCTAATGTAGTTTAATTAAGCAGTATGGCATAAATTCAAAAAGAAAATGCACCACTCAATTTAGGATTTATTTTTATGTATGAAAAATTGACCAAAATATGAGAGAGTATAATTACGACATTTAGTTAAGCGTACAAAATATTTCTGAAATAAAATGTATTTCCGTCGAAATCAACGTTCTTTAAAGAAGCAATGTATTCAAACAGGATATTTTGAATAAAAAAAATGTTTTTTTCATTTCGATTTTGAAAATTTGAATTAAATGGAAAAGAAATTATTGGAAGTACCTCATAACAAATCAAGCGATAAATAGAATATCACAAAATCCAGTTTATTATACAATAACAAGCTATACATCTGGCAAACAATGAAAAATCATCAATTATACACATTAAAAAATTAACTTCTTTAGGTTAAAGAGATTTCATTAATTAAACAATCTGAGACACAGGAATCGCAAGACTGGGGATTACTCAATAACCTTTTAAGTAACTCAAGGATTTCAGCCCATGTTGATTTCAAAGAAGATGAAGATCTTGCAGATCATGTGGAGCCCGGGTGTGTTTTTCTCGGTCAAACTAAGGCAAGCAGTTTTGACTCTGAAAACTTAACAGGCGAAATGGAAGTTGAACAAATGCCTGTTTTGGAGTACACTCTTACTCAGTCAAAGGTAAAGTCATGTGAAGAAACGTTTTCCAAAAATTCACTTGAGAATGTTTTCTCAGAAATGGACGATAAAGGTAAGTTATTTTTATATTTAAGCAAAAACACCTTTCTAGATTTCTATACGTACACAAGCATAGTGTGCAAGCATATAATGATGTATTAGTTATTATAATAATAGGTATTTTTGAATCAAGTTGCATAATGTTTTTGGTAGTATTATCACGCAAACATCAAACTATAAGTGCACACGTTTCATTACAATATAAAAGTTAACGTGCACCGTCCAACAAACAACTTTAATCGAAAACCAAATGTTTGAACTATTTTACCTAATTTATAGGAAATGATCTTCAATTCACATATGCTGCAAAAATTCGAACAGACCAATTTGGTAAGGAGTGTAATATTAACAAAGAAAAAGCAGTCGTAATCAGTTTTGATCCACAAAAAAGTGCTTCAAATGACACAGATGATATAGAAATGGTAAAAAAAGAACAGAAATGTGCGCAACTTGAAACAGAAGATTTATCTTCACAACTTTCCAATGATAAATATTTAAATACAGTTTGCAAGGGAAATTTGGAAGTAGTATCCTATACGAGTGAGATGATTCAATCAGATGTCAACAAAAAAATTAAACAAGAGGTCACAGTGTACACTCCTGAAAAGAGATGCATAAAGAAGAATTGAGCCACCGTGATCATTTTTATGACGAGAAAAAAACAGCAAAATGTAATAATGATAATGAGGAAATTGTTCTTCACGAAGAATTTCACGACAATTACGAAAATGCGTCTATTCATATTGAAAATGATGATTCTCAAATAGTTAATGATAGTAAATCGCACCTTCTGGATGATGCAAAAACAACTGAAGGAAGTAAAGGAGCTCAAACTGTCACAGTCGACAATGATTTAGAAATAAAAAATAAAGCAAATTTCAAATGTGAAAATGAAACGCCAAAAAATACAAGAAAATATAGCGAAATGAATGATATGGGTTATGAAATTAAAAGTGATGACAGCAATAGAGCTATATTAAATGAAAAGTTTTTAACAACAGATCAAGATCAGATGTTTCAAGAGAAAAGTTTAAAATTTTTAAAACATGTTAGGTTTTCAAACTCATACGAAATATACGAAGATAAAGAAAAAGCTGTTGTTGTTAATGACGTCACTGGAGAATGTTTGAACGCAACTTCAAATGCTTTAAAAATACATTTGCATGGCGATTTAAAGGAAAATGATTTTCAAACGAAAGTTAATGAAGATATTCAAATTGAATCACAGTTGGTAGAGCTAGAAAGAAACAAAGTTCATAGTAAGACGCTTAGCTCGGTAAAGATTGACGACTCCGTTATACACCAAATTTCAACTGACGAAAACGATAAACCAACAGAAAACATGCCCAATTTACTTTCAGAAAATGTATTCAAAATTAAAAATGAGACTTGTTTAGCAATAGAGCGAGAAAATGTCGCTGGAGCAGATATTACAAGTAGTCATAAAAATGTAGAGGATGGTGTAAATTTGGCAGAAGAAGATTGTAAAAACAATATATTAGAGAAAAATTATCAACTAGGTGATAGTGACATTTTCATTTGCAAAGAAGACCAACTAAATTTTCAAAAAAATAGCCTCTCCAAGCAGCTGCTTATAAGTCATGAAATTGAAAAAGGCTTAGTGGTTGACAAATTGATTTTTGATAAACAACAGTTCGATCCTTTTATGCTTCCAGAGAATGTGCAAATTTACAAAGATGTGACTATAAAGGTAGACAATGATGAAAAAGATGAAATGGAAGTTTTCAATACTAATGACCACAGGAAAAGTGAAGTCAAAGATAGTGAATTCGTACCACAAGAAATATTGGGCGAATACAAATATGAAGAGAATGTCATTGTAACAAGAGAAAATATCGCAGAAGAAGCATATGTTGAAAGTGAGAAACACAAAAATAATAGGAAGGTAATTGAAAAACCAGAAGAAGAGTCCTTGCAATTGAATTTAGAGAAAGTTCCACATGACAAGGTATATGAATATTCTAAAAATACGACTATTCTAGAACAATTAGATGATGGACATAGAGATGGTGAAGATGCAGCAATGACAGAACGCTACAAAAATCACCTCTTAGACTCTAAAAATGATTTGTTCGGTGCAACAGAGCAAGATTTATCCATCGCACGTTCAGTTGAGTATGAGTCAAGTTTGTCAATAAAAAAAGATACTGGAAATTATCAAGAATTAGTACAAGAGAACGATTCAGACTGGAAACAATCTACAAGATATTCTAGAATAGGTTCTGATGATGCTGGCTTAGGGTTTGGATTTGGAGACACAACAAAACTAAAGCATCAACCTTTAGAAGAACCTAATAATGTAAAACAAGAACCTTGGATTCTGACGTCTATGCAATGTACGCCATTGCAATATGAGGAGCAATCGATAATAGGAAGTACAAATGGTAAAAAAAAGTGTAATGAAGATGATAATGAGACCGAGATTGAAGAAAGCAAAACACGTTTGATCAGTAATGAAGAGACCGACATCATAAATGAAATGGCCTATGAGCAACAAGAAAACAAAGTTGCATTTAAAAAATGCGACAGGACTTCTGAACAGGTCTTAAACATGGGTGAAATAAAACAAATCAATGAAGTAGAGAAAGATAATGTCGCCAACGTGGAAGCCTTACACTCTACATCTGACGATACAGACATGAAAGATTGTGGCAACATAACAGAAAGTCACAATACTCTTATTAATAAAGATGCCAAAGAAATTGTCCAAATTGCCATTGAAAAAGCGTTGGTACACACAAACAAGCATTGTGATTCTCATATTTCTACAGGCTTAACAGGAACTGAGAACGGAGATAAGGTGATTTTAGAAAAAGATGAACCTGATTGCTTGGAGGAAAAGTATGAGCTTATGGAATTTGAGTTGTTTGAGCAATATATGAAAGAAAAAGGTGCTCAATCACCTTTTCAGTTGCAATTTCCTGAGAATGTTGGTGAAGTTTTAGCTCATCTGAAACAAAAGAATTAAGCGTAGTTGCAGATGAGTATCAATCTAAGCATGAAAAAACTCAGGATGAAGAGTCTTACAAGCCTGAAAGACCACATCTTACTTCACATTTATCAATAATTTTAGAAGAGCCACCATTAAAGAATAAATTTGTTGCTGATTTATGTTTACCAGATCAAAAAATCACACCAAACCCTGTTCATGATCAACGCGATGACGAAAATTTTAAAAAAGATAAACCAACTATAATAGATGATAAGAATAACTCCCAAAATTTGACAGAAGTGCTTTCAGAAGATGAATCGATGTCAATATGTTCATCTCAACAAAATTACCCAGGCGTTGAAGAGGATTCTGTTATGATTGACACTGAATATAATACCAAAATGGTTTATACTACAGCAGAATTGTCATATGAGAACGAACGAGAACACAATAAAACTGTACAAGATAAGAAAGAGTATATGAGGTTTGAGTTGAATGAAAGCAATATAAAGGAGGAAATAGGGGAAATATCAATCACAAAAAACAAAACAGAAGAAATCAATGAAAGTTTATTATTTAAAGATGTTCAAAACTGTACTAAAATTGACTCAATAGATTCTGAAGATTTGCAAGTTCTGTTGGATACACCTTTTGAAGAAGATGTAAAAAAGCAAACATCACCAAGGACAACAAGCAAAATAAATGAAATTCAGCATACCATTGTTCTGTCCACTGTAACATGCTATGATGCTGAACCACATTGTAACAATGAAGGTATGATGTTTGAAAATTTTTTTAATGAAAATAGAGAAGATCATGCAATCTTAATGCAAAATTTAGATGAAGAATTTAAAACTGATATGAAACATGATAGTCATGATGTTATGAAAACTACAAAAGGCACTTCTCATGCAATCGGTGAAATCGAAGAATGTATCAAGAAAGATAACAATATTCCTTCATTTATCAAAGCTCAAGAACAAAAAAGTACATTATCAAATGAAGAATATAAAGAATCATGTGTGCATAACAATGCAGCACAATTAGTTTTTAATATATTGGAAAATGTAACTAGAAAGGAGAAGGAGAATCTTAAAAGAAGTGAGAACAACAAAGATTATATTGAAAATCATGATGATCAAATTTTTGTTTCATTCAAGAAACAAGCAAGGCAAGAAGAATTTCCACAAGTAAATAGTAAGTAAATTATAAGTTGTAATATTTGTTTACATGTTTATAATGAGCTCATGACCAACAATATTGGAAGATATTGCAGTTTACAGATGAAAAGTTAATCATATATCTTTTCTGAAAACTATTAAGCTTTATATTACTATTAAAACTATTAAATATTTGCCATCAATTTTCAAAATCTTAATCTTGGAACTTCAAAAATAGGGATATTTACCATAAATATATAAAGAGTATACGATTTTATGGAATCATTAAACTTGTGCCCTTAAATTGGACGATTCATATCATTTTTTTAAGCTGAACAAAAAACCCAACAAAATATCATGATTCATCATTTTCTCTACATTAACTATTGAACACATACATTATCGTTTCATGCACAATTCTTTTATAGACCCTTGTACACTAAAGTTTTAAGCATAATGCAAGGTCTTCCAAAAAACAGATGTTTAAAATATTTATGTTATCATTGAAATGAAATTTTACATCATTAATTTAGCAGGCATTAACTATTTGTTCCTGGTGGTTAAATTAGTAACACGCTAATTTCCTCATGTTCATTGCAACTTGATGAAGAGTTTTATAACTCGGTTAATTGTGCTTTGATTGTGAAGTTTTTAGTTAATAATTAATTGTTGAAATTAAGGGTATGACAGTATTTTAAACTTGCTATTCTTAAAGTATTTAATTTATCTGTGACAGCCGTTAAGTTGTTAAACTACTAACGTGCAAACTCTACAAAATTCTAAAAGTAAAGAGCAGTCATGTTTTTTAAGCTGTATTCAATGTTACCTCATTTACAATAATTTTTGCTAATACGAAATTATATTATGTCGTTTCTGTTTTAGGGCACCCTGTATTTAAGCAAATTTAAAAATGTCTAGATTATTTTGAACGCCAAATAAAAATATTTCATAAAACATCAAAGAAAAACTGTGTCTTTAATTTCATGTCATTTGATATTTTTTCTACAGACAATGAAACAAGTCAGGAAGAAATGTTTGTGGAAGATGTTTCTGATGTGCTTAATTTAACAAATATCGAACTACCTGCAGAAGAGTTTTCTGAAAAAATTTCACAATCATCAGAAGAATCTCTTAAAATCGAAGGAAACACGTTCCTTAATATTGATGAAAACTCAGCACAGACTGAGTCAACGGAGTATAGAGAAACGATGAATTTATCAATGCAAGATGAAATGGGAGAACAAACACCTACAGTTGAAAAAACTAACAAAAATAGTGATGAAAAATATATAAAAGTACAATCCGTTGAAGAGAAGTCTGATTCTAAAAAAATCACAACTACAAATATTACTGGCAATGGAGTACGTGAAGCGGTTTTAAGAAAAAAAATTTATACAACAGACTTAAACAGCAATGTTTGTTTTCACCCAAAGGATATTGAAGCTGAGAATGATAAATATGTAAAAGAAGATTTTGATTCACGTAAAAAAAGTATAGTTGAGGAGCAAGCGTATGCTTTAGCAAGTGAGCAGACTCAAGATACTATTCTGTATGTTCAAGCTGCAGAGTTGGTTAACTTCGTCCTGGAAGAAGTAATCCTAGATGCTGAAAGATCATCCCACGCAAAAGATGACCATAAAGAGCATGCAGATTTTGATGATAAAATTTTCACTTCAGGAACAAGGCATGAAGATTCAATCCAAGTACTCAGTAAGTGATTTTGGCCAAATTGTATCTTAATAATTTTAAAGTCCGTAGATTATTTAAATCAATTTTAAAATCTTTGCAAAGTAAATTAAATAACAATAAGGTTATGCACAATATTTTAGAGTGAATAAGTTGTTATATGCTTGGAGTTTTCCACAAAAGCAAAAAGTGTGCGCAAGTCTAAAACATCTCAATGTTGACGTTCTTTTAAAGTTTTTTTTCCATAAATACAAAAAAAGAACAATGTTTCTTCATTCAATTAATAGAAAATTTACATATTTTGTATTATTTTAAAAAGTTAAAAAAAAATTGACCGCTAAATCCCTAAACGTTGCATGTATTCAAGAGGACATTAACTTTCCTAAGTTTTTGTCGTTATTAAGTAGCTATATATTTTGTACAGTTTTTTCATCGTTTCAACTCAATGAGCAAAATATAGAACAGTAAAATAATTATGTTTGAAAAGTAATGATGATGCAAACTAACAATATTATTCAATAAAGCAATGACCAAAGAGTTTCAAACAAACGTCATGATGGAACACAACAAATGTCGTTATATTCATTACTCTGAGGCATTGATATGGTCTGATAAACTTGCCGAAGATGCTAAGGTATGGGCTCTCCACTTGGCTAATAAAGGATGCCTTAAACATTCAACTTCTATTAACCATGGAGAAAATTTAGCTTATTCGTCTGGGTTACTAAGCGGCTATGATTTATCTCATCTCTGGTATGACGAAATAAAACACTACAGCTATATCAAACCTGGTTACACAACATCAACAGAGAACTTTACTCAAATGGTGTGGGCAGAAACACGTAAGATGGGTGTTGGAGCAGCAGTTAGCAAGGATGGAACTACTTATTATGTTGCAAGATACCAGCCTCCTGGAAATAAGCTTGGTTGCTTTGATATAAATGTCTCCTCTCCACGTAAGAACATGCTGGATGGCAGACATCGAAAGAAGAAATCGATCTCTTCACCAGAAATCCCTCAAAGCAAAAAATGGTAAGAGTCCAAGAAGGGTAAAGACAAGATTAACTTTTTCGATAATAATATTTGATTCTTTCTATTCAAAGCAAAACTCGTAATTATGCAAGAATAATACTTTCGCCATTAATATTAATTAGTTAAACGTTCAAAGTAATTGATAAATACTTTGCGTTACAAGAAATATTGAAGGCTATACATCATCGTGATCGCTCTGTTTTGTCTTAACAAAAAGCCAAAAATTTTTAATCAGTCACTCAACAAAATATCCAAATATACAACCTGTTGTAAATTTATCTTGTTTAGACAACATCAAGCATGAATGTCTTGTAACGCACAATTTTCTCCGCTATCAACACGGAGCTGCTGAACTGAAATGGTCATCAACATTATCAGCTGACGCATTACAATATGCAGAAAGATTAGCTTCCAGCAGCTCTATAAACAAAAGTGACTTCACTAATAAAGGTGATAATATTGCCATCTTAAGCAAAGACGAGTTTAGTGTCAGCAAAGCTATGGAATTGTGGTATGGTGAAATTGATGATTTTGATTTTGCTTCCCCGGCGTTTTCGTCTTGTACAAGAAATTTCAGTCAAATGATATGGAAAGAATGCAAAGAGGTATTTATAACATGAATTTATATTTGTATTGCGTATATATTGTTTTATAGTTATATATTATTTTGCATTTTCTGTTTAACCAACAAATATTTGAAACATTTTTAAAAATATTTAAAAATAGTTTAAAGCAAATGCCAATCGAGCATATTAAAGTCTTGTCTAATTTTTTTAAAAGAGTTTTCAATGCTTTGCTGTTTTAAAAACTTACTTCATATAATTTATCATTTAAAAATTTTAAAGAAGAATTCTTTTAAAAGAAATTCACACGGAGTATTTTAATTGATTAAGTAAAGTTAACACAGTCTAACAACATAATGTAATACATAATTTCAATACAAGCTTTTCATGAAATGTGTCTTTATCTAAACATCTTGAAGATACAAATGAATTAAGTTAAAATTGAAAAATAAACACAAAGATAGCCCAAGATTGTAATAAGTTGAAAATGGCTAAAAATTTTAACTCTTGTTATAGGTGGGTATGGCAATTTCTATGTCTGAAGACGGTGAATCTGTGGTTGTTGTTGCAAGGTATTTTCCAGCAGGGAATGTCGTTGGTGGATTCCAGAAGAATGTGCAACCAAGATCGTCAGAACGAGACTATTGTTTTTAGTAACACATTTTATTGAGAGACTTCCTGTAACGTTTTATAAATTAGATAGAAAAAATGTGTTTATGTGAGTTACCCTAGTCATAATTCTATTTAAAATCTGATGTCAGTAGTGCGAGCTGTAGTATATAAAATGGTTGAATTTACCATTCAATTGCCATTTTTATGATATCTAAATGGATGCATAATAAAAAGTTGTCTCAAAAAAATATATCAGTTGAATTTTGCTTTTAATAGTATAAAGTAATCAGGAAAATTAAAAAGCCCAACTAAAAACAACAGACCAGCTATATGAGCTACTAGAACAAGGTTCTTTAGTATAATGACATACAAATGTCGCTTGCCTCATTTTTTAATCTATTCAGAGCTTGTTATTACTTTATGTTAAATTTCCACAGCTAAAATTTTTGTTAGCAATTTTACTTCAGAAAGACCTTGTCAAAACAAAGGCTTCCAACAATAATAAGTATGTGAGGGGAGATGGTCATTTTACTGAATCAGATAAATAACAACTTATTTCTCAAGGATCAAAAAGCCAAGCTCAAGGATTACAAATGAGTAGTAGTTGATTGGTAGGTTAGATTCAGTTGAAATCACTTTTTCCTATAAATAACATTATAATGATGTATGTACATCCCTCGAGAAAAAAACTTATTGAAACCCTCATAAACCAGCTATAAAATACATATTTTTTGTTTGTGCTCTTTATTGTTTCATCGGTAGATTTTAAACACTAAACAAGGTAAGACATTGAAAACAGGCACAGCAAAGGCACAATTTCTTTAAAGACATTTACAAGTTGAATTGACTGTTACTGCATGCTAGCCTTAATGCTTCGTGTCCAACCAAGCTCAAACACTGTAAAGCTTAGGTCATGTTTCTAGTGGCTTAAATCAGGCAAAAACCAAAAACTAATTATGTCTAGATACAACAGATCTCTCGAAAGCCCGAGAATTCAGGCTTTTGCTTTCTTAGCCTACTGATTAATCCACTACGTGTGGAAACAATACATGCGAATAAGTGAAAGGGTTTCCATGTTTCTTTTTGTGAAAGCCCTCCAAAAAATTTAACGATATTTCTTTAACAGCATAACAAAAAAGATTCAGATTGTTTAAGCACCTTGTGCCTTTTAAGTGTGTTGTATTTCTGTTAAGTTGAATGTAAACATTGAAAGCAACACTTGGGAAATATTTTCAAAATGTTTAAATTTATGCCCTTTGTGAACTCAAATTAATGTGTGCATAGAGTATTTAAGTAGTAAATTGCAAGTAATTTGGGAAGATAGCTAAGTTATTTAATTTATTTCTGAAAGTGAATGTTGTTTTCAAAATGACTTTGAAATGTTTTTTTCAGGAGCAAATTGATTTAATACGCTTTTTGTGATAAAGTATAATTGTTGTAACAGAACACAAATATTCAGCATAATACTTGATTGTAAACTTGATTAAAGTTGCCTGTATAAGTTTCCTGTTCCATTGCTTTGTGAGTTCAAGCCTTTTTGCAAGTTTGTTAGAACTGTGAATGCATGACTTTAATCAGTTGTGACAAAGCAGTCAATGATTTAGCGTCAAATACAAGCTGCTGACAGCTTCTTGCTAATAAATATTTATTGTAAGGCAGCTGCAAATAAACATAGTTTTATTTGTTAAAATGTAGACACAAATAAGGAATAATAAGGATTATTAATGAAGCATTAATTCAAAAAAAGGGGAAGATATTGTTTTACTATAAAATATGCTTATTAAAAGTAAGCAGACCATTTCATACAACATGGGAATCTAAAATCATTAACATGTTTACGTGTAAAGAGCATCGTATTTTCGCCTTAAGAGATTAAATGCAAAACATATTACACATTTGATTCGATTTACCGTTTTCTAATAATTTGTTTCCGATTACTGATTAATAAATCATGTACCAATTGCACTCCAGTCTAAAATCGAACGCTAAATCCTTAAAAATTCTCTTTTTTTAAAAAAAAGTCTGTTTAAAACTTTAACTGTTTTTTCATGAATTCTAAAAAAAATTATCATTACTCAGAAATACTGCAAGATATGTAACATACTACCATAAACATTTTTAGAAAAGAATTTGTTATATTTAGTTTGTTTTATTAGTTGCTCAATATCAAAATTTTAGTTGTATTTGAAAGCACTAAAGCAATAAAATACATTCATTTTTTGTATAATAAAATACATAGAATCATTGATATATTTTATTAAATGCATAATTGAACATCTGCTTTTTTAAATAATTTATTGATATTTTACACAGTTTGCTTACAATTGTCAAACTGTGTGTATTTTTATTAAAAGTTTACAATTGAACCTGACGTTGTACGACAACAAAACCTTTCATTTACTTTAGTATCCTTTTCAATTGATGTTTTTCAGTAACAGAAGTACTACAGAGAAAATGAGTTTCTTTCAAAAATTCATAAAATTACTTTTCATATTGTTGTGTACAAAGAAAGAAATTCTAGGAGAAGTATTTTCATCAAATTTGTTCTTGAGGAAATTTACAGGTATGAAAATGTGACAAATCGTTAAAAAATTCATCAAACAATAAAGTCAATTTGATGAAGAAGTCATGGAATGTTTCAATTCGGACAATTTTGCTTTATTTTATTTTCTAAAGTAGAGTGCAATGACACCATATCACATATTGCAGGGCACTATTATAGTTTTCAATGGATTGATGAATTTGATTTCGCATGAAAACAGAGTATTAGTGCAATTTGCGATTCTGCTTCGCTATTTGATTTTGCATGTTAAGGTATCCATGATGTTTACTCCAAGAAAATGGGCAGTTTCTAATGAATATGTTTTACGTATGATATTCCCTACAAAGTACGGAAACTTTAATATATGAAAAATTAGGTGCTATAATTGTTTTGATTTACCCTGAATCCGCCATCATAGCCTGCAATATTTATATCAGCTGTGTATTTTAGGAGTTCCGAAAGTGAAGAAGAATTTTATCGCAGAAGTTTATGCACAAAGTAGCCTTGTTTGTGGAATGACATGTTCGAAATTTCAGAATTGTATTGGGTTTTATTATCGTGACTACTTTAGCAGCAATGAAACAAACTGCCTGTTGGAAAATATTTCCACTGATTTTCACATGAAAAATAACGCCAAAGACGCAGATAAAAACACTTGGTCGTTTTACATAATGGTAAAGGAATAAAATGATTTGATTTATAATTTTTCGGAAACATTATAATTATCATGTATGCCAAGATCACATGGGTTGTTTTGGCGTTCGATTTTGAAGCTAAGAGAGCCAATGATTGATAGTAGGAAGTATGTTGCTTTGTTATTTCACAATTTTTGTATGTTAACGATTCTTTGAGTTGTGAGCACTCTTAGCAGGAATAGAAAAGCTATGTCCTAATGTATTGATTAAGCGTACACGCTTAATTTAAAAAAGTTGTTTACGACGATGTTTCTTAATTTTTATTTTGTCATTACCAGTGTCAAATTTGTGTAAAAATTTATCAACTATTTACTGTACATATATAAAATGGTCCCGAAATTCAATTTAGAAGAAATATGACTATCAAACTTGTGAAAATGGAGGGATGATGACGAAAGAGAATGCTAAATTGTCAAAGGGCAAATGCAATAAGCGTTTTGGAGGACAATTTCGTCAGCTAAGAGAAGGTCCGTAGTTTAGGTAATGCTTTTTTTAGAAATGATTTCACCAATCTAAACTTTTCGTTAAATGCATTAAGCTTTTTGTCACTCGTAGTGTAAGCAAGCAAATTAAAATAATATACATGCACTTATTTACGCAGGCTTCTGACAGAAGTAGTGAGTTTTATTTTCATAGTGACTCAAATCACTATTGTGAAACATCGCTACAAACTTGCAAGGGTTACTTTTCTATTATGCAATTGAAGCTCGTTGCTTAATAGGCTATAGAAATGATGTATTAGTTTTAGGATATACATCTCTTTTATTTGTTATAATATGTATTTGAATGGGCGCGGATCAATTTTACAATTGCTTCCATAGTGGATATTTGCATTTATTTTAAGTCATTTAATTAGAAGTGAAACAATCATAATCAACATGCATACACAGCACCTGCATACTATTAACAATGAATTATTTGTGTTTAATTAGCACTTTTT